CGGGTAATTAACAATGCTAATGCTAATAATAATGTCAATAATAATATGCAACGTTATGGGTTACCGCGTAATTAATTCATAGCGAATAACGTCGGAAATGTCTGTGGAGGGACACGTATTACATTATTTTCTATATACTGTAATATTTCCGCACTGCAATCGATCAGGTTATGATATGGAGGTTATATATAGTGTTATTTCAATGTTCAGTGTCAATACTCTCCCGGTTTTCGGTAATTTTCTATTACTATTTTTTACTATTTATGGTTTTTCAAAATTATACCCAAATAATCATTGATGAATGATGGGTGGGGGGGAAGGGCACCAGTGAGTATCACAGTTCCGTCAATATAGAGCAGAATTTCCTCCCGTCTATTTTGTATACACTCGTAATAGAAATACTTCTTTGCAACCAATAAAAATAATTGAATACTATAATAATATACTTACAATTTATTTAATAAATAGGTACATAAATATATAAATACCTACTAAAATTATACTATTTCTAAAAAAAATGATGACATTTGATCATAAAAAAACGGCAGGGATGGTGGTTGAAAATTAAACTCCCTTGAATTATTTTCAGGGAAAAATCGACAAAAAAATCACATTTGACGAATTTGTAATTTAAGGTATCGGTACACCTGCAAATTTATAAAAAAAAAAAACTATTATATTATGATAAAATCTCATATTATACATAATTTAATTTATATGTCTTCCTTGTATAGAATAACGAAAAAAACAAAACACAACAAAACGTCCTATGTATATATTATAAATTGCCTAATATTTAATACAAACGATTGGTCAATAATACATTTGAGATACTAGGATGATTAGCTAACTGCCACATGCTGACATCGTGATGAGGCTAGAATATCTGTAGGTAGAGGGACGATAAAATAACTTTTACTACCTATGGGTTTTGTCAGTGTGCGAAGTGTGCCATCGTTATTTTTCAGAAAGGATTTTGTAAAATATAGGATTTTTATTCTCGATCATTGTTCGATTTGTTCTTATTTGGCTTAGCCAAAGAAACCCATCAGCTAAATATATTATTAATGTGTACGTCTGAAGGACGAAATCAACGAAGAAGCGAAGGCGTTACTTAGAACACTAAAGGTATATTCCGAAAACGGTCGAAATGATTTTTCGAGAAATTCGCAAAAAAAAAAAACGAATAAACGAAAAATAATAAGGGTCGCGAGGAATTTATGTGCCGTACTCCCAATGATAACCAACTGACGCTCCGCGGATTTCCGATGACCACGGTGAGTGCGAGATGTCGTTGTCGTACACTGTGCAAAAGACGAGTAAGGATCAAATGTGTTCACGATACTGTTATTATGGCACGCTACACAAAATACCTATTGTGAAATATTGTTTGTTTCGGTAAGTTTGCGTCGTCTGCGTAAGAATAAGACGAAAAAATGTAAGTAATAATATACATAAAAGTATATGATTATGGTCGAGTTGTGACCGGTAATACGATTCGGGTGAGAGTCGAGACCATACGAGCACACACGTATACAAAATATAATATTTTATAATAATAATATTATATACTATAAGAAAGTGGCCTCGCCAACACACACACACATACGCACAAATATAAAAGTATTGTGGGCCCAGTCCGCATATATATTATACTGGTACTGCATATTATAATAATATACCGGCGTCGTCGCCGCCGGAATATAACAACGTTTATCGTCTGATTTCTGTCTCTCTCTGCGGGCGAGTAGAAAAAAAAAAAAAAAATTGATAATAATAATAATAATGCGCACGCCCGATAATCCATCCTGTGTCCGCCGTCGTTATCCGACCGAATCGCGTAATATAGAGTTATTATATTTGTATAGAACCGATCAAAAAAAAAAAAAAAAAAAAAAAAAAAATCAAAAAAAATCGACGGTATTGTCCGTGCACTTTTTTTTATCTCTTGTATACTTACTGTTGGTCTATTTATCGTTATTTTCGCCGTTTTAATTGCGAATTCGTGCGCCGAGAAAAGCGCACACTTCCCCGTCACCACCACGTCGTCGTGCGCACTCCTTCCGGTTAACATTATTGTTCGGAAATTCGCTACCGTCGCCATACGGATCGTTTCCGTACATTTTGGACCTAATCCAATTCCAATCATCGTCATCGGTGACTCGTTTCAGAAATAGGAAAACTATTTTACGTTCGTCGTATTTGTCCCGTGTCTTTTTTTTTTTCGTAGAAATTACTTTTTCGGTTATGTTCCTAATTATTTACACGGTACTATGAAATATTAAAGCTCCCCCCCCCTCTTTGTCCGGATATAGGAAAAACCAAAAATGGTACGGCATCATAGCTGAAATCGTTTATCGTATAATTTATACCAACTACTATTTTTAATACCTTCTACTTCACTCAGAAATATTTTTTGATTTCGATGATTTGCAAGGACGCCTTAAGAAATCCTTAGTTTAAAAAGGGCACTGCGAGTTGAACAATTTCGGTAATCACTGTTAGATTATCACCTTGTTGATGCATTGTAAATATACCAATGACAATCCAAGATGATAAAATAATATTATAATATAAAATGTAATTCAGATACTGACAGTATCTACTTACATATTATTATTTTACTATCGTGTAACGTGATAATAAGTACGACAGAAAAGCGAAAAACGATACTGTAAAATTGACAGTGCGACGTAGACCAATCGGATATTGAGTGACCCTGCTGCCAATATTTGTTTAATGATGATGCGTAGAATCGATATGCAGCACTAGCTGCAATATATGACAGTGCGATTTAATGACATATCTACTCGCAGATCTTCGGTATTGATTTATTGGTTTTGTTTCAATGATATTGCTAGAACAACGATTAACTGTGATATGGGTGAAAACGGAGATTTGGCCCGTTATAAATTGTATGAATTATAGATATAGTGTCTGGTTTGTATAATTTTTTTTTTCCAATTAATATGTTTTGTTTTGTTTTGATTTAAAACAAAAAAAAAATAACATGATTGGGACATATTATGTAGATATTTATAACCCTCGTGATTCGCGTATTAAAGTAAACAATAATTTTTTAATGTTTTATTAGATAATTCAATACATTTATTGGAGAATGTGTGGATTATTTTATTTATGTCATGTGTAATTCTAGATAGGGTTTGTGGCCTGCATATAAATATATATATGTAAATACCCGGTAATTCAGTCAATAACGTGCACAGAGGGAGGCGGTTAGGGATTATAACTCACCCATTCACTAAAAAATACAACAACTATGAGTTATTTTATGCTGAAATTATTTATTGATATATCCTGATCCGGATTTTAATTCTCATTATTGAATTAGGTATAACAGAAACATATTCCATGATTCATTCATGAATTGTGATTATTATTTACTACATACCCTCCCATTGAAAACTCCTGGGCGCGTCACTGAAAATCAGCTAGTGTATAATAATCATAACGACTCTGTCGCAATTGCCAACCGATCGACTTCCAATATGCCTAGATAAATTTACAATATATATATAAGTAGGCCAATTTTATTAGAAAGACCTGCACCCAAAACTCGTAAATAAACACTTAATACATAGAGCCACCGCCCATTTATAATAAGGCGGTAATATTATTATTTGTTTAACTGCCTTTACCCGAAGTATACTGTCATGTAAGCAAATAATTACAAAAATTAAAAGGCATATTTTCGAAGAAACACCCGGAGCGTATCGGTGTATTGACTACAATAGTAGTAGTTTTAGTAGTTTTAGTTCAAGTGTACAACCAGTACAAACCACAAGGCTATTTTAAACTTTTTTTTTTTTTTTTTTTTTTTTTTTTTTTTACACTTAAGACTCTTACATAGATTAGATTATTTGTTTGAGTTTCAAATAATATTCCAACTATTATAACGATACAATATGATAAATAATAATTTTTTATTTTTCTGTTGATATCGAACTCTTTCGAGTTTTCCTTATCTATAATTTAAACTTTTTAATCTTCTTCTTTTTAGTACCAACTATCCTCAATGGACGTTGGCTATCATTATGTTTTAATCTTCTCTGATGTTTTATGTTTGTATTATTCACGGTCTTTCACGTTCTCTCCTCCCCTAAATTTTTCTTTGAATAATTAGCCTAAAAATGTTTATTTTTAAACTTTTTAATAGAAATATAAAATACATACAGTTTTACGTGACAATATTATATTAGGACACTGTAACACACCCAAAAAAAATGTTTATATATATATATACAGCTAGGTAACCATAATACCTATTCTATATCTATAACCATGTTTTTTTTTTCAATATATAAATATAATTAATTATTTTATTAATTATGACCCAATATAGAAACAAAGCGGCCTTGGCACTACCGCAGCTACACGAAGCCTAAGCAATACGGGTAGATTGTAATAATAAAAAAACAAAATAAAATTGTTAATAAACAAATTCTCTACGTATATTTTATTGGAATATTATTATATTTTTTTAAATTAAATTACAGAAATGTTGTTTTCGAAAGTAACCTTTTTAGATTTTTTATACTCGAAACCAGGGTTGAAAAAAAAATGTAAAGTTAGTCGTGTTTTTATTTTTTTATTAATATTACCTGTCTAATATTTATAATTTATGTTGTTTGGTAATAATGATTTGTAATCGCATTTACTAACTTATAACTATTTTTAATTGGCAAAACTCACTAGGTCTAATATTATCATTATTATTATCGACTTGATAACCCAGACATTTCTAAATATTATTGTCTAATATTTTAATTTTTTCGCCAAACTCAAAAAGTAAATAAATATAAACGAGTTCTTTTGAAAATAAATACATACCTATAATAATTTACGTCAACTATGCGCATTTGTATTATATTTTTCATAACCTATTAACTATATAATATTTACTAAATAGTTAGTAATCTATTGTTTTCTATTTATAATTTCAAATTAAATTGTGTTATAAAATAAATGTAAATGTATTAAATACAAGGTATTAACGTAAAAGGTATAACCTAATAGTATGGACAAGTAGGTATACTTAATAAGTATTTAAGTTTTGTTTAAAATATAACGAGGTTTTTTTTTTAATAAGAAACAGATTATAGGTTTATAGGCTATTTTATAATAATATAGCTAACATAAAAAAGATAGACATAATTTGCATGATGGATAGGCTACTGTTGTAGGTGAAAAGTTGGAAAGGTAGGATATAGAAGGGAATTCAATGTATATCTGTATGCAACGATTAATCATTGTTAGCAAAAAAGGATTCCGAGTGGTGTTTGGTAATACATATTTTAAAAGGGCATAATATTTACGATTTTCGTCAAATTTTACAATTAAAATTCTCATTAAAAAAAAAAAAACTACATTAAACTCGATTCATTCTTGTTGACCACTAAGTACAACTTATAATATACCTCTTGTAAATTTTCAAATATTTCCGTTTGATCTAAAAAATTGTATCCACAGAACACCTACCGAATAAAAATTACGTAAAAAACTTGCAATATTAAAATGTCTATAGCTCATGGCTTAAATGTTTTGAAAATTTTACCACACCTAGAAAAGGAAAATATGAGTTTTCTGTTCAAACTTTAAGTCTTTACGAACATTTTTAACTGAAAAACAACAAAAAATAAATCAAATTTAAAATAATAGTATCATTATTTTCGTAAATTGTCCGGTTTTTCTCAATTATTATGAAAACCACTTCGAAAATCAAAAAATGACTTTCCTAAAGTACCAACTACATCAAATTTTCTTTCAACGAGGTGTTACATTTGAAAATCAGAGTAAGATTTCTGGTCGAATTTTGTGTACACTGTATTTAAACAAAAAACAACATGTATATATATATATACACGTATAAACCGTTGTAAAATGAATACATTCCTCGCTTCGCTCAGAAACCAAAATTAAACTATTAAAAATCGGTATTATATTATTTTATTCAAAGCATTGTACGTTTTTAAAATAGTCCATCTTCAACACATTGGATTCCTACCCTAAACAATTTTGTAATAATAACGTGAATTATAATTAGTTTCAAAACTAACTACGTTTTTGGAAATCGGAAATGCTCGGTCTGGATATCCCCAGCGAAGTGAATTTTATACGGTATGTGTAACTATTATTGATGTTTACAATATAGGAAAAAATATGTCATAATGATTTTCGGTAAGTGGACGTTCTAAAATTATCAGTGTACAAAATAACAAGACGAGTCTACCGTTTTCCTTATTTGTCGTCGGCCGCCGCCGTCGCTCTCGTTTTTGTTTGAAATAAAAAAAAAATAAAAATACATTGCGTAATGACAGTAATCAAATTCGGCACTTCGCTGCTGCAGTCGTCGTCGTCGTGCGCCAATTTCGCAATACGCAAGCACCAGTGGCGGTGCATTTAATAAAAGTTTATTTAACTGTGTATTGGGTACAACCGCCGACTAGCAATTAAATACAAAATATACGAGTAGTTTGATGTACTCCTAAATCTATAAAACGAATGCTTAAGTTTACATACAGAGTGCATCTATACAGGATTGACTGTTTCCTATGCAATTGTATCGTTGGGAATTGTAAAATTCCGCAGACACGCCACAGCCGTCTAAAACGTTTCGTATTTCCCGTCTTCACTTGTAATCCTAAAGACGCCGGTGTTTTTCAAATAAATGTCAAAAAATGTCAAAAATTAATTGCAAACCAACAACAATTTCCGTTTTATTTTCTACAGATTTAGGACGGTCTACAAAACCGACTGGATATCCGTGGTTAATGCAATCTTGCAACCGTTGAAATACGCATTCTGAACGTTTTGACAATCGAGAACGGTATATAAATTACTTTCCCGTGATAAAAATACAGTGCGATAAAACTTACAATCTATTTTACGTGTTACGAGAACCGATTCGAATATACATATATATATATATATATTTTTTTTTTCATACATGGATTACAAATATTCGATCCACAAACGCGATATCAAACGTGTTACCGGACCCTATTATACACAACAGGATAATATTATATCCGCGGTAATACTAAAGTAATGCGCAACAGCGACACGCATCGGTCGTGTGTTCTGCTCGGATTTCACTCGGCCGGGGGAATCATGCGGGATATATGTTTGTGTGTTTATATTATTATCATTATTGCGTGCGTATAGAAATGTCCAAAATTTTATGCGTTTTCACTGGCGGCGAGGTGACGGCGGCGACAAGAGAGAAAGAAAGAAACGAACAGAAAAAATAAAAAAAAACCCCGGAAAGACAGTCACGAACCGCGTCCGACGCGTATTATTGTGCGAGTACTGCAATTTTCCCTGCCAAAGTCTGGGGCGCTGGATCACGACGACGATATCGCATACTAACGTAATATAATATTATTATTATTTTCTTATTTTTCTACAATAACCGTTACCACGACGATGACGACGACGACGACGACGACGGCGGCGGCGACGGTGTATACAACCGATTTATAAGATTTCGATCGCATCACGCCCGCAGTATATATTCGAGGTGGAATCGATATATATAATCATCACATCATACCGTGGCCATAATACGTATCGTAATAATACCGTTCGAGTTACAATAACAATATATTAAATGACTCGGAGTGAAATCCACGAGCCACCGTCAAAACCGAAAAACAAAAATACGTTCAGAATTTAAAATAAAATGTACCCATAGGTATCTATTAAAAGATACTAATAAGTACCTATACGACAGTTCAATATCCTAGTGGCGACGTAGTACACACAAACAAATAGCGGAATGGTCGAATGGTACTTTTAACCAAAACGGTTAAACTGCACTTAGGTTGTGAAAAGAGTAAAAAAAAAAAAAAAAAAAAAATTGAAAACACTAATTTCCATTCCCATTTACAGGCTTATTCGAACGGACAATCGTTAGAATGAAATATTTGTTTGCATTTTCTCGCGGTGTTTTGTATAATATTTCGCTGTTAAGGAGTGTAACACAAATTTACGCGGGGCAGAGCAATCCCCTTTCTATATGCAGTTACGCCATCATTACACATAAATTTATGGCATTAATTGTATTTTATTACACACACAATATATTACAAAATGTATAAAATATATACACCTACCCACTACGAAAACACACTTTTATAATAATATTATTATACTACGAGATCGATAATTTATAGGTCAACCAAAAGGTTTATAAGGCTGCTATAAAATATTTCACAAATTGTACAGCTTTTCTCAATATTTATCGATTTTTTCGACGAAATCGTTACATTAGTTCACCTTTCTCGCGTCATAGACCATGCAATACGACGTGATGCTAAGTTATAATACCGTCTCTGAATATAACTCACTCAACGGCGCGCCGAAGAATTTCCAATGGGAGGGGATTTAGTAAACAACAATCATGATTCATAAACAAATCGTAGAATTTTTAAAAAAGTCAATTTTTACTCAATAAATTAAGCTCTTTTCTTGTCACTTGGCTGAAATGTATAGTTAAAAGATGAAACAAAATGAATACTTTCATGGATATTTTTTGAATTTTTACATTAATTGGGAGGGATATATGCTCTAACCGTCCACCCCTACGCAAACCACTAAACATACTTTTCACGATTATTGGCATAAATAATAATAATCACGACTATCGCCACATGTTTGTCTTTGCTCATAAACCAATATCTTCTCGAGAATCGAAAAAAAATGTAAAAATAATCTTTTTCAGAAGCCGATAAATAAGTAAATGTTGTATAATTAATATTTCCGAAGGCAAAAAAAACGGTTTTAACCGCACACTGCTCTACGTAATAGTGATATACAGTATATTTAATGTTTCTATTCGGTTCATTATATAATGTGATAAAGAATGATTTAAAACAGTATTTTTTTTATAAACATCATTGTATATTGGTTTTTTCATCCGATATTCTTTGACTTTATTATACATAATATATATATCACCTAAAGCGGCATGCAGTTCTATAATCTTCGTGACTTCTATTTTGTCACGGAAGCCGACGAAATTTTGTCATGAATCATTATCGCCTATTGACAATAACAACGTGACGGTCGAAAATAAAACTTTAAATTTATGTAGTATAAACAATAATGTGAATAAATCGTACTAGAAACCTATAGCGATTTTTCATATTTAAGACACTCGTCAGTGATTTTTTTTAAAGTCTTACATGGGGGTTTATTTTTTTTCTTGCTCAGCTTATCGATCCGTCGAGCGCCATTACTGCCATCACAAAACCTCTCCATCTCTCTCTGCTGTACGCCATGTTCTCCTGTATATCTTCCAAATCGTGAGCAATAACATCAATACCCAGTGGGTTCTGGGTCTCCCTAATGTAGGTCGTTTTCTGTATATTTTATTTAGCGACATCTATTTTATTAACTTGCAATCAGTTTTCCAAATATGTCCGAACCATTCTAGACATTTGCTTTTTATAAAAGATTCCAAATTTGATAAATTAATGTAAAACCAAAACTATTTACATAATACGTTTCCTGCGAGAAACGTCGGAGGATTTCGGGGTAATGTTGGGCCTTTTAAATCTTTAATTTAATGTAGCACTAGAGAAAGCGGTGAGAGATGCATAATATTATGGAGACCGAAAAATGGAAATATTTAGAGAACGCTGATTATTATATATATATATTTTTTTTTCTATGTTTCATAATGTCGAATATTGTACCCATATAATATCGTTAAGCCTACGCGTTATATAACAATATCAATAAAATTTTATTATCGGCATTTATTATCAGTGTCTCGTTTGCGCGGGCGTTTAACAAATCCCATAACGCGCTGCTGTGTGACAACTGTGCAGGACACACGCCGGGCGCGTCCTCGTCACCGCGCGGAACACCGTTAAATCAGTTTTATTGAAGATTGTTCGAGAAAACTGTGTTTATTATTTACAACTCGAGGTGCAAATGGAAAAATGAATAATGTCTGTTCCTGTGCGTTTTACGTTTATACGACCGACAGTAAAACATCGCAGTGCGTCTAATTAACGATACGACGACACTCGTTGTCGCCAAACGTGTCTGCGAGTTCCGCTACGACCGTGCGGCGCATTGCGATTTCCGAGTAAAAATGCGCGTGATTTTTACCGCGTCTGACCTATTATCCGTCTGCAAGTTTTTTAAAACTCCGTCGTTATTATGATAATATTAGGAACACCGTGCATTGAACAGTAATAATTGTTTTCCATTTAAGTTTTAGATTAAAACAGATACACAGAGGAGTGATTGGTACTTTTAAAAACTGATACGAATTATCTAATTTTATATGGGAGTGTATAATATATAGTATCCCCTTATTTCCGACCGTTCCGAATTTATTAGTCCGGTTCTACATTTAAATACACGCGTATTAACGGTATATTATATACTCAAACGCGTTAATGTACAAGTATCTAGGGATAACGTTTCGAAATTTAAAATCTTAAAAGCGATAGGTACGTCGATGACTGACGTAAGAATATAAGAACCGGTATCGAGAGTAATAATAATAAAACAAATATTCGCAGGTTATAATTACCAGAAACACTCTGTATATAATATACATAGGTATACAGTACGCGCTTCAATAAAATCATTCATCCGTTACCAGTATATTTATACGTCGTTTTCCCACACGTCGGCATGTCGTATGTACAAAATGCATACGTTATTCGTGTGAAAATAGCGCAAAATTGTTAAATATTGTGACCTTCTTAAATAATTATTCAAGTATATTATAATATAGATATTACACGATTAAAATGTAATAATTCGTCAGATCTCACGAAATACTTTACAAATTCCTGAAGAAAAATTGACAGTTTTATATCAAACCCAGAATAGGTATATAATGGGAAATTTATATCTGTACGCAACGATAAACCATTGATATCAAAAAACGATTCGGAGCTAAGTTTCTTTTATACATGAACGTACATTTTACAGATTTGTATGTTTTTTACCAACTATTATGAGGACCGCTTGGAAAATCAAATTATGACTTACCAACTAGATAAAATATCCTTTCAGAAAAAGTGCTACACTTGATATCATCGGAGTATGATTTCCCGTAGAAAAGTTGTTCAAGGGATAAAAATAAAAAACTAACATTGACATGAAGATTTTTATTTGTTTGGATCCAATCATATGTGATAAGGACTTTCAATCCATATCACGTCACACTTATCACGTGTATTATTCAAGAGGAACCACTGCCCCCTCCCTTCACCAAAAAAGTGATATTCACAATGAAATATAATATAATTTACATAGATAATCATTAGTATCGTACATATACGTTTTCGTAATAAATGTTATAATACTCTTATAATTTACACGAGGATATACTATTTAGCATCCGACACCGTTCGATTATTTTCGCTAAACCTTCGCACGTTAGTGTTAATGTTGTTTTTTTTTTCCTGTATACGCCCATGAAATACGATAATTCGCGAATTACATTCTGCACGGTTCATTGAGCAGATAAATAGATACCTATACACCGTCATCGGTATGTAAACAGTGACGGGAGATAATTTAATATGAACAGTTTTTTACATTATATTCCTAATGTAATCGCATGGAGCTGTTAAAGACTGTAGAGAGGCTTTTTCCGTATTATTGTATATAATTGACCCGTATTCCATTTTTTCGTTCAAATATTTTTTTTGAAACTTTTTTTTTTAAATTGGTAAAATATAATATTATAATATATATTCACCGTTATTCGTTAGTATTGTAACTATTATTATTGTGTATAGATATATTATAGAAAGTAAACTAATAGTGTTCTGACGGTCCGGTTTTTGGTCTTTTTTATTTTGGATTTCAGAGCGGTCCAGTCAGATTTTTATTTCTGAAAAGTCCTATTGGATTCAGTCCGTCTATAGATTATGGTCCAAATATTACGAAAAAATGTCATAATCTAACCTTATGAACAGCAAATTTAATAAAATAAATTTGCAATTTGTGTGTATAAAAAATATATTATTTCTGGTTTTGTCATTATAAAAACTTTAGCATCGGTTCGGTTCAATCGTATTTGTTCAGTGACCTAACCAAATGGATGCACTCCTGATCCAGATCCCCCTCTTTTGGACCGTATAAATGTTTAAAAAAAAAAGTTAATTTGGAAACATTATAAGAATTGCATTAATCATTTGGTATACCTACACACAACTAACAAATTTATATTTTGTCGTGCAATGAAATTGTTTATTATATTTTGGACCTCTCCCCCTTTGATAAATTCTGGTGGCGCTACTGCATTTATTATAAAATATTTAAACGCGGTCTCGGTATTTTTTAGTTATGAGTAAAAAACGATCTGGTGCCATTACTTATTTATCAGTTCGGTCCGAATCTTAATGTCTTAATACCTCGGTTCAATCCGGTATTTGAAAAAAAAAAAAAACGGACGGTGCAGAGCTTAAGAGTATAATGTAAACATACGATCGGTACGATAACAAGGGCGATGGGGGTCAAATATTATATTATGATGTTGATTTACGAAACGAGACACTATTAATGAAAATAATGCGCAAGTATAAACCGAATGATTTTTTATCGGTCGTAGAGTTTGATTGAAAATATACGCGTCTATTCGTTATTCAGTAATCTCGAAATTAATCAATTTCGTCTTTTACGATAATTACATTGTATACGTGCATTATAGTCTCCCGTCTGAAATGAAATGATTTGAAGTGATTTGAAAACGGGTACTTACTTACATACTTTTGCGACTAATGCTGTCGAATCGAACTGCCGTCGCATATATGTATTCATAAGCGTGTATAATTAGAACGGCGAATCATTTCTAATGCGCATTAAGTACATAGGTAGGTATATACTTATATATATATATATATATATATATATATATACATATAAGTATATAAGTACTATATACCTATAGTATATAGAGCCGAATTTCACGATTCCGACGGATTCGTCTAGAAAAACTGTATCAAAACACGTGTCAATTTTTTATCCGCATTACTCGTATACAAACTCTCTCCTATATCACCGGTACATACCGGTTTTCTAGACCATTTTTTTAATTTTCTACTTAGATTTCATAGCGTTTAAAACATATTTTTATAATATGTAATTCACAAATGAAAATATAATAAAAAAATTATGCAAACAGAGTACAAGTATTAATAGTAATAAAAATGTATTTATTTGTTTATATGCATAGAGAAAACTATACGAGATTTCCTATGTATTGAGTGTTTGACATATTATGACGTAGGTACATGAACGAAACTAATTGTTTTTAAGAGTAGTTTCAAACCAAATTTGGTATAACTTTAATCATCGTTGTAAACTTTTACACGCCCACGTCCGAACAATAAAACAAATTTGTATGCGCAGTTTATAGTTCGCCAATTAAATTAAGACTTGTTCTATAACGCGTCATCGAGGTACATACTTTCTTTTCGGGAAGCGCTGCAAATCGTATTTTTAATACCTTACAGGGCCTAATTAATTTTAAGAAAAAATATCGTCGAAAACGTTCTCGCGAGTTAAATAATTCGTTTGTAAACGATAAACTAATGAAATCTAACGCTGTTGTCGATTTATCGATTCGTTTCCGGCCTGATAATAATTAATATGGCACGTTAGTATTGAATACACAGAAACAACAGCGAGGACTAGTTCGAATAAAGATGACTCAGGATCCCGTGAAACGTAATCATTATTCCTAGTGGTTATCACGAAGGCCACTGCGGAAAAAGAAATGATTAAAAAAAAATAAAAAAAAATAGGAACCTAATAACGTTCGGTACACTGCACGAAACGGACCTCAAGGTCTGCGTTGTGCTTTCGTAATTTGGAATAATGACTGTACGCGTTTCGTTTTAACATATTATATATTTTGTTTTAACACGCGCGTTAAACGTATGTATGTATATACTAATTATTATTATTGTCGGTGTGGTATATCGGCAGCTATTATAATATTATATCGGCAGTGTTAACGAATGATTTTTATTATTTTATGTACACGAATGTCGGTTTGTTCGTTACGAGCCATGATGGTGTCGGATTGTCCCTGCGATAATATTATAATAATTCACGACCATTCCGGTCCGATCCGAAAGACCAAAAACGACAATATTGTAATGACATTCGACTGACGTAATTCGCGTCGATACGTCGTGTTACCGCAGTGTAAGTGACGCACAAAAAGCCGTCAACTATGCGAGTTACTATATTATAATATAGGAGATTGCAAACTAAGCCGGGGCGACGAGTAGAAAAGTTAATGTAATATTTGATCAAACAAATTACGCAAAATTTAAACGAATATTCAAACTCAATTTGCGTGCCGAGGACACGTCTACTATATAAGTATTTATGTACTTAGAGACGTCGTTTTAAAATCGTATTTTTATGTCCCAATAATTTTCTAATAAATGTATTAGCGCGCGTACATGGAATAATGAAAAAAATACTGGATGTACTAAGCGGAGCTCGTTACGTCCAACTGTACTCGAGCAAAAACTAGGTGAACTAATGTTATTTTAGATTCTGAACGTAGACGTGCCGAGAAATGTATTGGTTTTACTATTATGTAGTAATTTTTCTCCGTGCGTTAATCCCACTTAGCCAGGTACCAGAAATTTCGCTCCCAGATCATCATCAATTTTATGGGGCTAATAAAGTAAATTTCGAACCAAGTAGTTTCAGTAAAATTTGTCTAACGGTACATTGCGCAGGAAGTGATTTGTTTAATTTGACTTATCAAAAGTGCTTGAAAATACTATATAAAAATTCCAAAGTTCGTAGACACGATTTTTATATTTTTTTTAAAGCGTTTAAAGTTCAAATGTATATGAAAATTGAAAAAAAATTCGCAGAATTTTAAAACGTGCACATACCGAACAGAATCGTTTTTTCGTTAGCAATGGTGCGTCATTATACATAAATAAAAATTAAAATGCTCTATATAATAATATGATACTTTCTACCTGTACAACAATGTCGCACCCATCAGCAGTATCAGCTCTCTTTTGCAATCTATTTATTTCTTCCCCCCCCTCTTTATTTTTCCATATAAATTGTAATTTTCACCACGAGAGCAATAATTCTTCGACAGAAAACCGTTATTTAAATCAAAGTACAAAATGATAAATCCAGGACCACACACGAAGGTACTATACGGATGTGCGTGCTTAAAGACAAACAATAATTATTCTTGTTGAAATGTATTCTTGTTCTGTATTTTTAGCAAACAATAATTATAAAACAACGTGAAAAGATTTATTTGGATTTGTTTCACAATGTCCGGTCGCAATTAAACACATATTATTTTAACACGATAATATTGTATTTTTTTTAAACAACTTTTTGTTATTTCATCACGGTTTTTAGTACATCAGCCATGAGTCCAGGTAATAATAGCCAAATCAAAAATGGTCATTATTACTGACTACCATCAGCCATAGGTACGATTATATAGTATAAAATTAATATATTTTAACCGCCACTGCGATGTTTTATAAAACCTTCCTGCTATAATACGAGTATCGATCTTGTTTATTATTATTTTTTGTCTTAAAGAAAAAAAAAATTTTATGTAGGTATTATTAGAATTTCGTCACGGCCATCGTCGTCAGTTCATTGACATTATTAAACGAGTTTTCTGTTTTTACCCGAATCAAGATAAAATCAATAACAATATAATACATACATTTTGGTCATAAAGTACAGCATCGAGTTTGATTGGTAGCAGCGATGAATACGATAACACTGCTGTAGCACTCGTCTGCAACACTCGAGGACAAAAATATTATTAAAAAAGCTAATACTGTTGATGGATACGCATACACCACTGTTTTAGCTGGGAAGTTGGAACAGAGTAATTTATCTAAATCAAAATTTTTACAAACAAGTTCTTATAAAGTTTTCGATTCGAAAAATATTCCTGGTAGAAAAGTAAGTTGCTTATAGGCAAAGAAGGAGGGAAAATATCATAGTTAAACTAAAACATTTCTCGCTTCGTTAGTTCGTTCAGAATATAAAATTATTGTGAATACACATCAATCCGAACAAACGATCCAAAAATATTAAGACGACCATGGCCACACCGCTAAAAATAATTCCTTGGCCTGTATATTTTTGTTATTTATTATTTTCATCTCGGTACCTGGCAATGTACTTAATATACAATTAATGTAGTATACGTACTAATTAGGAATGTTTACGGTTAATTAATTACTGTTGCCAAATAGTACGTAATTATGAATTAATGTATTCGCCCATAACCGGTGTACAACGACGTTTATTCCGTATTTATTTTGTTTCGAAATACGCGACAAAAACGCGCAGCTTCGTGAGTGTCGTCGGAAAGTCGCGGGTGCGGTCGTGGCGGTTATCATCAACTCGAACCTTCAGACGAGATCACATGCACCATCCTAAAACGGTGCACTGGAACGAACGATTATAGTGTTTTCCATTTGACTGCACACAGTGTACACTTTTTGCCTACCATCACCGGTGCAGTAGATACCTACATCGAATCCCGTATGACGATGTAGTGTATTCTTATCTACACGAGTGAAAAAATAACAACGTCGAATAGGACGGAGATTAAATTGTTTGATACGTGTTTTATATATTCTGCTCAATACGATCAATTTGATAACTGATAACGATGATATAATAATATTACGATAAGATTATACTATTACCTGTGTTACATTTCATATTATTATCATACCGGATACATTCGTGGAGTCCTCTCCCATAGTTTCCCAATACATCATCATTACCACTACAGTAAGAAAAAAATAGTGGGGAGAGTATATTTTAACACATTTGTAATTGTACTGAGGTTGATGTTAAACCATAGTTACGGTTTGTTGAAGAGATATTTGTTTAACTTTTTTAAGAAGGGGCCAGCTAAGAGCCTATGATTTTTGTTAAGGATGCCAGGCACCGGGAGCGGACTGGCCCGCCAAAACTCCAGGAAAATATCTGGTGGACCATTGCCTAATACGGCCATGTGGCCTGTGATCGTTGTTAACAAAATTACATTTAAAACGAGTTCAAATAGACATTTGGAATACGTCTGTTTAAGATATTTGTATTATTATTCAAGTTCTTGATCGATAAAAAAATTATGTTCAATATTTTGATTGACGTTTTTACCGCGTGCTTTTGTGTTTACAAATATATTATGTACAATGAAATAAATTCGGTTGTCGATCTTATCAGCATAATGTATTTGTACAGTTCTATAGAATTGGAATTCCGATAAAAGTTACTTAAGATTGATTATGTTTCCGAGAAATCATCGAGTTCATTATTACGAAAGGATTACCTTGTTTAGAGTACCTATACATTATTATTAAACAAATTTTGAAATTTCGTTTTTATTATATTATTTAACGCGAATAATATCGCGTCGGACAGTGGCGTACTTAGGATTTTACCAAGGAGGGAGATATTGAATATTGAAATATTTTGTTATATAATGTGTACCTAAGGTAGCTAAAACAACAAAAAAAAAAAAGATCTAATTTTAAATTTATATATTTTGTATAAGTATTTTATAATTCAATATTCCCTAAAATTAACATTAACATATTATATTTATTATTATACATTTAGTTATACTATACTAAAAATAAAGATAATTTTTTTCTCTCAACCTAATCTTTTTTACATTAAAGTGGTTCGGATTAAAGGTTTCGTTTTTAATAAGGAAATTTATCTATATTTAAGGTTTTTTTTTATTCATTAACTTGTACTTATCAACACAAGCATTTTTTGATTTTTCAGACTAAAAGGTAAAGATATTCGATTTTGAAAATTAGGTATTCGTATAAATAATAGCTATTAAAAAAAAATGTCTGTGGGGAAAGATATATCTCCCTGATCCCCCCCACCCTTAAATGCGTCACTGACGTCGGGTATCAAAATCTAGAAGTTTCTCGAAAAAATAAATAGTAATTTATTTAGCTGCAAAAAATTAGAGATTCGTATAACAAATTGCATTGGTTATTTGGTGAGTGTAAAAAAAGATTTTTTTTTTATATTTTTTATTAAACAATATAATACAGATGTAGACATTCTATTGATCTAATTCCCGGTGACTATTTCAGTCCCGGTTCACCCCTGCTCAGCTACTTCCCTCCTCCCATATGGTGCCTTGCCTGGGTATCGCTAACCACTAGTACAGTCGGATGGAAAAAAAAAAAACGCTTTGTCGAACTTTCCGACTTTTTTTATCGATCGCTTATTACCCATAGTATTGTTTTCGTTGAGAAATTCGACCGTGGATGCACAGCCGAACGGACGGACCGCCCGCGGAAACGATGCTTCGCGCTCAGGTTATTTACCCGAAGTAAATAATTGAAAGAAAACGAAAAAAAAAAAAAAAAAAAAAATTATAATAATTAAAAATATGGACCGTTTCGAAAGTGTTTCACACACATACACGCATAAAACCGACCCGAACGGACGACGGCGGCGCGCATTCATTAGACGAATATTCGGCGCGATTCAAAACGTTCGTTCGTTTTGGCGTTTATACCGGCCGTCATCAGTCATCGTGGCTCCGGGGCCCATGGGAATATTACACACGTACGTCGCCGAAGTGAAAATTCGTAAATCGTCGGTCGAATTTTCACTTTTTTTTTTATAGACGGGCGACTCGCGCCCGCGATTATTATTACAGTCGCTATATCGTGAGATCCTCTCGCGCGGGAAACAATAGCGGCCGTTATGCGACTCGCTTAATTACACAAACACACACACACACACACACACACACACACACACGCGCGCGCGCGCGGGCGCATACATATATTTATATAAAACATACACCACGTGTACAAGTGCTTCGTGCATGTGTGCGAGCCACGTTGAAAAATATATATAAAAAAAAAAAAAAAAAACGTTTTCGAGAGCATCGTGTAAATGTTTTCGACGTAAAAGCATCATATTATTATATCGCCCTCCGCGTTTTGCCATCTCGATTTCCTTGATCTTGAACGCGCGCTCTCTGTTCTCGTCCGACCTATAGGTCGATAAACAAACCTTCTTCTCCTTGCGTTGTGCGTACAACGCCCACTTTACACAATTTACACGCAAACTCGTACGTATTTTTTTTTTTATTTTTTTTTCATCGGTTTGTCCGCGAGTAATCAATTGCAACGTTTTAACGCGGCTTCAGTGCTGACGTGCTTTTTCCAACGCGGATCTCGCGTAACAATGTATGTACGGCACAGTTAAATTCGGTTTATTTTATACACTATTAATGTTAGGTACGGAGCGAAGTGAGATGCGTTGGTCTTACTATGATGTGTTTTTTGTTTTTGTCTATAAATAACTGGTCTATCAGTTAGAAGTCATTTTTGTATTTCTTTTGTAATTTCCTTAACAAATGATTAAAAATAAAAATAGGTATTTGATCTATAATTTGTATTGACTTCTGGATTACCTTGGTCACAAATGAAAAATTCGACTAATAATACCCTGTTCAGAATTGTTTTTCGCCAGCAATGGTTTATCATGACGTACGTATATAAATTAAATTACTCAACAGATCCTTCCTCCCCTAGTAAATTTCCTCTTAAAACAGTGGCACGCCCATTAGAAATGAATGAACATTTTTTTTTTTTTTTATTGTTATCTATATAATATTTGCATTCAACTACTGCGTCAGACATAAGGCTCGTACAAATATTATACTCACTGCACGTCATCTTTTGGACGGGACCACTGCACGCGTTCTTTGGGCGTGTCTATTGTGACTCTCCTTTGTATTAGTGTATAATATAGAATACCTACTTACCCGGTATATTGACACAATAATTCGCAATATAACGCGTTTTTATGATTTTTACCAAATTCGGCTTATATTGGTCTAATAAAACCAATATATTGTACAATAATATATATATATATATATATACATACTTTTTTAAAAACCAACAGTTGTTAAACGAGTCGTGTATAGTTATCGCATGTGACTAAACCGCACACACTCATTTCGAGGACCTCGCCGTGTCCTGCTCACAGCAATCATATACACGTATTATCGAAAATAAGAGTTTTATATTATTCGTTATAAAATGATATGTTTAAAGAATTTCGATAATTCACTGTATACGGGAAGCTCGGGGCGTTTTTGCGGAGTTGAATAAGTTTCATCGAGTTTTACCGGTCCGCGACATACAGCCTATTTAATAAGGAATAATTTGTTGTATTTTTTTATTTTTTTTTTTCTAGTTTTAAAATTACCCGTCGTACCTACTATAGTCATTTCTACCGCAACAGCGTTAAGTGCCTGACGAAGTTATTAAATTATTTGAAAATGTAATTTTAAAACTATCACTGAAATGTAAAAATATCTCATACACATTAATATTATACATTTTTAAGAGTGATATGATTTTTAATTGTATTATTTCACATAATATTCATATATCAATTGAAAATTAAAATAATGTCAGACAATGTTCTTACCTTTAGGTTTGATAATAGTCAAATACACCCTAATGTTAAAACTAAAGCACAAAATAAACGAAAAGTATAAATATAACTTAATTCCACGAATTGGACGATTTTCACCGACAGGCGATGTGGCGTACATGTATACTTCAAAATCGAAACAGCTTGTACATTTTAATGCGGATATTTTATATAGAAATTATTTACAACCGCTACTATATACACGTGCAATGTGATTTTGGAGGAAAACAACAAACTGGACAGCGAGAAAGTCAAATGGTACACGATGAGCAGATACTAGCTAAAGTAAATGAAAATAGGAAGACCATACAGAATATAAATTCTAGGAAAACAAAATTATTTGGCCACCTAGCGACCTAATGAAGTTTGAATGAAATTTTAGTGAGGAACAAGAGGACTAGTAGTAGACAAGAGAACTAGAGGAAAACCAAGAATGGCCAAAGCATTGTGTTATATACATTTGACGCTTTAACGCCAATAACGAGGCATTCGTTTAGAAAAAGAAGAATATACACGGCGCGGCCGCTGAAATCTGTACCAATAATTTTCACCGAGATGAAAATAATGTATTTTCCTCGCGTATCCGCGAAACGCTTCAATAAGCTTTCCAATGACTTTAGACAATGAACTATATTGATACTATTGTTATATGTAAATAATATTGAAATAAATTTCCAATAAACACGCATGTATTTTAAATTTTTTTTCAGAAAAATCGTGATCCATCGTATACCAGAGACCTATCAGTAAATTGTAAGTAAAATCCTTCGTCACTTTACAATATTGCAGCGCTATTAATCTATTCAATCAAAATTATTTTGAAACAAGTATATAGACTAATATATTATTACCGTTCTCGCAAACCAAACGCCGTAGCGTAGTTATTGCAATAAAATTTAATAAATTCTCGTGAGACACGACACCGACTCGCGGTAATACGAAATATACAAATATCTATCTACCTACATCTAACAGGACTTTATTGAATATGATTATACGATCGTAGTAAGTCGCGTATTATTGGGGGGGGGGAGTACGGATATACGAATAGCGTGATTTATGCTTCTTACCTTCAGCGGACACTCGTTAAAACGAAAAAATAAAAACTACGTTAATGTTATTATATTGAATTTTTATACGTAGAATGGACGGCCGAAAAAAAAAAAAATGTCATGGATAAAATATTGCCGATCGTGACGATCGTGGCGCGGCGGATTGCAAAACCGTCGTCGTAGATACACCGTCCGAAAAATACGCGTGAAATCCCGGGGTCGGTTCGCACGATTTATTTTTTTTGCACGTATACGTAGTAATTCGCTGTAAGTTGATATCGTATTTGTGCGTACATGATGTCTGCGCAGGTACTCCGTTTTCGAGAATGTTGCGTTTTTCAGAGTCGGCGGTAGGTACCTCTATACCCATTTCTACTCTCGTTGCGCACACATTAACCGCCGCCGCCGATGCTGTGCGTGTGTGTCATTATTATTATATTATTACCATTCGAGTTTTTACTTTCCACTCGCGATTCCCGGTCTACAATAATTATCATACACACGCGTGTTATTACCGTGCGAGTGGCGGGTACCTGAAAAAACAAACTGTTTACCGCGCATTTATTACCCGATTCCGCGGGCGAAAAATGTGTCGGTTTTTTTTTTTCTATAATAAATAACGATTTGATACAGACTAATAGGCGCGTGCCTATAAGCAAGAGCGGATAAATAGATAAAACTAGAATAAAGATGAGAAATATTTACGCCGGGGAGCGTAATAATGTTCCTAGTGTTACTTGAAACGAGTCACAGACTCAAATTGTATCCTTTGATTGGTCGTATACGACATTATTCGTTTTTATGTAGAACCTTAGATCATAGAACTCCGCATACGTCCTGATGTGCCTTAATGGAATAGCACAGCGTGCAAATTATAATCAATTTGTTGTGTCTTTTTCGTTTTACCCGTGCTTTTTCTAAACCCGCCGTATTTTTTTATCGAATAGGTTTCAGTTTTATACTTAGGACATTACCTAACTTTCTTGGGGCGGTATTAGGTTTGGACCAACAGTGATGAACACTTAACAGAAAATCATATTGTTTATTATTGTTGCCATTTAAATCATTTTATCAGTATTAAACATGTGTGATAACGATGAACAATCGAAGAAAATTATACGTCCGTCTATGGCTCGTTTCAAGTAGGGAGTTTTAATACGCGACCAGGGAAAAATTCCACTCTGGAAGTACGAGGACTTGGCACTGCCGTCGTGTTGGACTCGCTCGGCTATACGATCGTCACTTTACAGTTCATCACTCGTCCTTCGCCCCGGACACTTATTTCCATCGTCGTCGGCGCAATGACAATATTATTAATTATGACATTTCGTTATTCGTCTTGAAAATAATATAATATACCATACATGCGCTGCTGTACACATATTATAACATCGAACGTTTCGATGTAAATCTCGTCGAGATGGGCCATTTGTATTCTAATAACTTCATTGCTGCGTGCAGCGGGTCTTGTCCACCGCATGATTTACGATCCGAGATTTCATTTACCGAGTACGAGTACCCACTTATCTGTGTGGGAAGCGTATAAATCATTGGCCAAAGCTACTTCGTCGTATACGTGTATACCTGCCTAGTCGACTGAAACTATACAGTGGCTTTCGACTCATGTGAATGCACTTCAGCAGACTGACGATTTTTCTTCGCACGTTCACAAAAAAATATTTATTGTATACATTTTATAATTGGAATAGTTAAGGGATTAAATGTTGGATTTCTGAATTTTTCCAAATTTTGTACAATTTGAAAACGTTAGTTTAGATTTGAGTAGACATGTTAATGATAACACTTTTCTACAAATCTGCTGCGCGATTCCCGTCAACGAGGAAGGAGTAGGCCGTTTTTACGGACGGATATAACGTTTTAGAAAGAAAAGACTGACTAAATTGTAGAAATTGTGTTTGACAGATTTCAATTTTGAAAACTTATTATGATTCTTTAGGTGCTTTACTATAATGTAATAGAATTATTTTCTTTAATTTCAATTTTTTTTTTTTAAACATTTTCAAAAATACTATCAATTTATTTATACGATTTTCAGTAAAATAATTAAATTTCTATTTTTAAAGTAAATTAATTAAACAATCATAATCCGTTTTTAAAAGTGAATTTTGTCAGACCCGATTCCTACATTTTTGTCTGATTTTTAATTCTATGTCTAGGTCTAATAAAATATACACTGTCACTAATCACCTTATACGAATGATCACTGCGATTGAAAATCGGTTCTGAGAGGAGTTCGGTAAACTGGTAAAGTTATAGTAGATTAATATGCGTTCTTTCATCTTTTGTAGACAATAATGTAGAAGTAACCCAAAAAATATTAATACAATAAACACTAACTTATCGCCATTTAAGATATAAGATTTGAGAATATAATTTAAAGCATTATTATAATGAAACGAGAAAGTGTTATTCGAGGATTTTGTCCACCAAAGAAGTGTTAAAAAAAAAAACACCTTAATATAAAACTAATTGCTTTTTCGCTACGTTCAGAATCTAAAAGAACAATTATTATCGTAAAAACGAGATTAAATCTGTTTATCATATGCGTAACATACAGGGAAACGAATACAAACTAACAGGTATATCGAAATAAACTTATAGCTTAATATACAAGTATAAAAAGTGTTTTTAGGCTAAAAGAAAAAAAAAAAGAATATCCATTTTATTATTTGGAAATGTATATTTACGACTAATATATATATATATAATTTAATTATTATAAAAATCGCATTAAAAAAAAAATAATAATAATAATAATAAACAGCAGAATTATATACTATATGTATATAATTTAATATTATAGTAAAGAAAATCAAACGTATATTGAAATTTTTTTTTTTTAAATATACGTAAACAAACGTAAATGGCGTTTTAACCGTTTGAACTTTTGTCGAGTAACTACACCACGCCAGTGGACGCGTCTTAACGATGATTACTTTACAATAATAACGTATAATATTATTGCAGTCGTCGGATATATAATTTTATTAGACCCGTATCGTATCGTTAACCGGCTCTTCGCAGCTGTATATTTAATATGATTATACACACTGTAATTTATTGTGATAATACGAGATATAGCTATAGCGTTTGAGAGACTTTAATGGTAATATAATGGACATTAGATAATTTTTTTGAATTATTATCATTTTTTATTTTTTTTTTTCACTCTCTAATAATAGTATAGGTGTATCTATACTTGTATTATTTTCATTGCCGCAGAGTATACTCTACACAGTTAGAAAACGCATTACGCGCGGTCTCGTGCAAACATTCGCATCACATCAAACATCGATTGCAGCGATGCTTGTCCCGCGACTTGGCACACTTATAGCGCAGTTAGTCTAGGTACCTACTCCAGCGCTTTATACAGTGCACGTGTGTGCGGTGCATCATCGCAGTCGTCGGACTTTCTACCGAAAATTGAATTTTTTACTTCCATTGTCGGCTTATAAGCGACCTGAAAATCGTTCAGATTTGACCTGATCCACTCTCACTACTGGATCCTGTCACTTGTCTGTTATAGTCCGCGGAGGTCAAATGTATAATAATAATAATAATAATAATTATAATAATGTTAACAATCACCACGTGCGATCGCCACACCTCTGGCAACAGCGTGACGCAGCTTCTGGGTGTAGCCGCTTATCCCGCGCACGGTACGGACCTCGACGCGAACCCGTATTTCCGTGAAACAATACAAACTGGGATTAATTTTCTTCGATGGGGGGGGGGTATGAATTACAAAAAAAAAAATCGATTAGATGGCGCAGATACAAGAAATTCGTTGGTACAAACCGGTGTACCGATACACGTTTTATACCGATTTATTAACACTCGATACCGATTATTTTTCACCAGTCATAGATATTCGCCGATGGAAATTAGTGTATGTGTATCCCCCCGCCAATTTCCAAAATTAACAATAACAATATCAATTAGATATTAACCAATTATTTAAATTATTACCCATAGCTCCCGTTTCCCGCTTATTAATATTATTCATATATTCATTTTGTTAGGTAATTTTATTGAACTGTCGATATCACAAGCATTAACATTAATTTTAATTTTAATTGTTATCAATTAAATTATTATTATTATCATATATTTGTTAATTTGTTCGTTTATTATTTCGAATAAATGAGAGGGGATGAAACCGGTATAAATAGTATGCACCATATGCACGTGGTGGTGCAAAAAAATTGAACCGGTGTCGTTAAATTTAACAACGGTTACTAAAATAAATTTCTCAAATTCACATAGGTCTAATTTTCAAAGAGAAATTTTCACCGGTTTGTATCGATACATTTCTTGATAAAGTTATTTAATTCATAAAAATCGACTACAATACTCTTGACTTTTTTTAACCAAGTGGCACAGAACAATTTAAGGATAAACCCGTGTTAAATGTTCAAGCATTCCTATTCAACCAACACAAATTATTTATATCAAACCAATAAATAAATAACTTGGAAATGTCAAACTCCTGTAAATAGCGCTCAATGGTCATTAAATCATCTAGAAAGAGCTAATATAAACGTTGAACATCGAAATAAGATTTCTTGTATAAGAAAATGTTGTTAACAGACAAGCAGAAAAAAACAATAAGTAAAACCAATATATTGATCGCTGTGATCAGAATAAAAAAAAAAAAGTTTTTAAGTGAAATATTTACATAAATTAATAAATTAGCGTTTAATACGTCTTATACACAAATAGGTATGTGATGTCTGGAATCGCAATAAACAAATTATGCAACTACGTCTACGTATTAATAAGTAAGATTTAGAAACATATCTCAAGTTTCGATAGAAGCGGGTTACAACCCCCAAAACACAACTGTTATAGCAATAAGTGAGCAAATTTATTAGGGGGGGGCGTGTTACCTCTCGTATTTAAGAAGTAGTGTAAAGGAAATTTTATCGAAATTTTTATAATAGTGTAATTTTACTCAAAAATAATGAAATTCACTTTCAAATATATTTACAAGTAGGTCTGTATCATAACTCACAAGTATGTATTGTGTAATCGTGAAATTAAAGTAAAACTTTTTCATGAGGACAAAAACAACTTGGGTTATGGACTTAGTTAAGAAACCAAATATTCACTATAAAACAAAGAGAACTTACATTGTGCAATTTTGGATTTAATATTTCGGTATCACTATTACGAACAAAGTGATTCGAGTTTTAAAAACTTAAAAATATCAGATTTTCAAACGGTTATAACTTGTTATGTATTAATGCAATATTGAAAAAATAAATCAAACGTTGCACAGTTTGCGTTCTATTTTTTCTATAAAAAAAAAAAAATTGTTATCTTTTTAAAACCCAAGTAGTTTTTTCCCGCAAAAAACAGTTCTTAGAATCGAATTACGGACTGTAACCTCTTAGCGTTCGACAACAATATAAATATTAAATAATATATCCTAGAAATATTTATTTAAACTGCTGTTTCCGACCATGTGCGTTTAAAATACTTAGCTAAACGGGAAAATCGTTGCAATTTCCGCCCACACCAAACAAAGATATTCGAACACAATAAACGACCCTTCCCCTCGGAACAGGACAAGGCGAGTGTTCGCGACCCCGAAAAGGACAGATGTTTATACCCGAAGTTGGCGGTGGGATGAAAATGAGAAATACAGTGGTAATATCAGTTAGTCGTGTTCCTTAACGTCAGTAAACCACACGGTTAATCGCATATTACAAATCGATGATATCTCAATGAATATACACAAATGTACGGCTATTTTCGTGTTTTTTTTTTTTTTTTAAGTAATTGTTTAATTTTAAAGTATTTTATTTGTAATGTGTTCTGAAAAATGTTTATACAAAATTCGCTCGTGTGATCAAACTACAATTATTAATCGTAAGTCACAAAAATGTACATACCTAATATAATTATTTCATAATACAATCAACTCACATATATAAAAATAATCTCGTTCAATAAAATATAGTTGAACAAATATAATACACACTTATATTTTTGGTAAAATTATACATTGAGGCGCATTTGTGTTCCATAATATTATTAACATTTGATCAGAATATTATAAAACAATAAAAACAAAGCTAATATTGCTGACGGGAAAATCAAAAAATTACCAATGCACCAACTAAATCAAAAATTCTACAAGAATGTACCTTTAAAGTTACTGATCGATGCAAAATGTCCGATAGAAATTTATTAAACACGGTCGAGGTTTTTGGTAAAAAAAACCTTTTATCCCAATCGATAAATGGCATACAGTTTTAAAGATTAAGAACGGCGCTTTTGGCGGCGAATAATTAGTTGTCAATAAATTATACATTGTATACGCATACAGTTTTCGGGGTGGATTTGCATCACGGCAGTAAGCTAAGGAAATGCACCGCGAAGTTGGTAAAAATACACGAATAATATTTTAGAAAATATAATAAGCGGAATTTTAGCAGCCAAAATGTTGTCCGTTGACAACTCTTGCCAATATAATAATATAATATATTGTTGTTAAGAATCGTGTGTAAAATATTATATTATAGTGTTATTATTTCAGTTTATATTGTATAACGCGCTGTGTGTGTGTGTGTGTGTGTGTGTAAGGTGAAAGATAATATGATAAGCCTGTTACTTGTCAGATATAATAACATTATGCAATGTTCTTTTCATTTGTTGTTAACACACACGCCACATTCTTAGGTGTGTGTATACCTTGAACGAGAAGAATTTAAGCGAGTATATTGTTTTGATACATTTGAATAATAATATATCACATGGTATGTAGTCTGGATTTTTTGCGAGAGCCGATCGTTAGAGTTGAGTTATATGAGTAAATTCCAGTTTGTTAAGTATATGCATGTCAATAATGCGAAATAACCGCGAAAAACAATTGTA